ACCTGTGTGGCGCCACACCTGGAACCCTGTCCCCTCTGCCAGTGTGAGAAAATGACTTCTAAGCCTGGCATGTCACCTGCACTGGCTGTGGGGAGGCTGGGGAGTGCTGCCGAGTTGCTAGTTTGGACTACACACCGAAACCTGGTCTCAAATACCTAAACCGAAACAAACACAAACACAACGGTCTCCGAAACAAAAAAAAAAAAAATTGAAGGAAAGCCAACCCTAGCGGCTCTGCCTACTGCAGCGGGAGGGGGAAGAGCTTATTCCTACCAGTCACTCCGGGTCACAGGAGAGTCAGCCCTGCCGCAGCCGGATGCTAAAGCTCGAGGACTCACCACAGCCCCTGACAGACTACTGGCTCCTCTCAGGCTCAACCACCTAAAAGTAGAGCATGGCACGGATTCCCAGAATCCACCGGGACAAGAAAGCAGGAGCACAGCCGCTCCTTCCTAGACGGCAACTGCGTTATTTGACGAGATTCTAGCATGCCTGGGGCTTCGTCAATTTACCCTCAGGGTCTCATCGTGCCCTCTCACACATCTCTGGTACTTTCTCCTCAGTGACTCTCAAATAAAAGGCCCAACTCTGGAGGTGGAACAGAACACAGACTTCAGTGCCAGGATAATCACAAGGAACGTTCGCGTTGTTTCAAGGCCTCGAACGGAACTGAGGGTTTTCCAGTATACCCTAACCTATCCTTGACTCCTAGAAACGGTTGGGTTTTCTACAGATCTGAAATGTGGAAATCGAAATGAAGCCCTGACTTTTTTTTCTCCCCGACTCTCCCAGGTAAAATTCGATGACGATTACATTCCAGAAATCACAATAGGGGCACAACGAGATTCTCTAGAGATTCATAGTCCTCACTATGACTTTGGACAAGGCCTGATCCCTCGCCTTGTCTGCAATCTTCCCCAGAGGCTGTTGCAAAGTCAGGAAACGCCTGCCTGATCACCCTGATTGTGGCTTCCCAGGGCTCAGCAGGCAAAATTGGGCTTCCTCTGTCCTGTATTCCAGAGTCCTATCAGTTCTCTTCAGTCTTGGGGCAATCTAAGCGACTTCTATATGTCAACCAAAGAAAGTATTGCTGGATTCAAGCATTGTCTCTTCCATGTCCCAGTAGCGGAAGCCAGAAAACACTCCTTCTGTCCACAACAATGAGGTCTATCACAATTGACAGGGCCTGTACTATGGTCACTTCTGGTCTGTGTTACACACACACTTCAGTCTTCACACTTGCACAACAAATGTTTTATTCTCTGAGCCACCTCCACAGCCCCGAATAGATTATTCAACCAAACATGTTATTAATTTTTTCAACATTTGTTAGTCAATGAAGAGCTGTAAAATGGCTTTTAAAAAAAAAAAAAGATGATGAAGACCATAAGAGATAAAATCTTCTTTGGAGACTTCAGAGCCCAGGCCATTTTGTTCTGTTTCACTTTGAATAGTTATAGAAAAGATTTAAACATATTTGAATGATGTTGAAAGCATTGAGTTTATCAGAGAAATACAAACAAATTTAACAGTAGTTGCTAAATCAATATAATTTGACCATTTAAAACAGTCATGGCTTGTCCAGGAAAATAGAAACCACTTTAAATATTTATTACAAAGGAAATGTAATACAGGAGACTATTTACACAAAGTGATGGAGAAGCCAAATAGGAGATTGGAGAGGTCAATAATTAGCAACACCAGGAAGTCAATCCTACTTGGAGATTGGAAGGATAAATAAAAAAATGCTGCTGCTGAAGCATAGCTATTGGACCCAACAGAATCTGGAATCATGGTAGGCCAAGCTGCTGGTATCTGCTGCCATGGGGAAATGCATGACCTTTGAAGGCAAAGCCATCTAGAACACAGAGAGAAGAAAACCTCTGCCTGTTCCAGCCTTTGGGATTCCTCTCCTACTGGCCAAATGAAAATGACAGTTAAATGTTGGTGAACCTATTTGTAGCCTGCAGGAGTCAATCCTCTATAGTAGGTTGGGAATCACAGAAATAATGAGTGCATCTGGGGGCAAATAGAATCAGG